TAGATCACCATACAAGAAAGCAGTCTTCACATCCATCTATTCCTGTTCAAGGTCGAACTGTGGCACCATGGCAAGCAACATTCAAATGGACATGTGCTTAACAATAGGAGAAAACACATCATTGAAGTTGACACATTCTTTCTGAGTGAAACCCCTTACGACCAACCTTTCCTTGTATCTTTTCGATGCCACTCCTTTGATTCCTTCCTTAACTTTGAAAATCTATTTACATCTGACTAACCTTGCTCTGGAAGGCTTCTTGATCAGTTCCCAAGTGTTGTTATCATGAAGAGATTTCATCTCATCATCTATGTCCTTCATCCATTGAGTCTTATTTCGACTCCTCATAACTTCCTTATGGTCTCTAGGTTCTTCGTCTAGAACCTCACTTGCAGAGATTAAGGCATAAGTTATAAGATCTCATACCCAAGTCTCTGAGGTGGCTTGATGAATATTCTCGACCTATCTCTTTCCAATAGGTAGTCATTGACAATTTTCCAAACTTCCTCAGCATCTTCTGCTTCTTCTTCGACTTCATCTGGGATACACAATCCAACATCAACATGCTCCACCTCAACAGGAATCTCTACTTGTTCCAACTCTTTGTCAGATATTTCTGCACTTCGACCAACATCATCAGTTTTCTTGAAATCCATTCCATCTTCATTGAAAATTACATCTCGACTGGTGATACTCCTCATGTGACCTGGCTCTAGGCACCATAACTTATAAGCTTTGACTCATTCAGGGTATCCTATAAACATGTATTTCAGAGCTCTAGGCTCAATCTTGTCTTGCCTAATGTGACCATAGGCTACGCAGCTAAATAATCCCAGTTTGTCGAGATATGGTGGATGTCCTGACCAAACTTATTTAGGTGTCTTCATATCTAACACATTCGAAGGACATCTATTTATCAGATATGTTGCTGTCGAAACAGCCTCAGCCCAAAACACCTTCTTTAACCCAACACTAGTCAACATGCATATAACTCTCTCCAAAATAGTTCAATTAAACCTTTTAGCCAAACCATTTTGTTGTGGAGTACTTGTAATAGTTATGTGCCTTGCAATACCAGAGGCAGCACAAAAGCTTCAAAAGTCTCATTGCAAAATTCAAGGCCATTGACGATTCTCAGCCCATTGACCTTTCTGCCAATCTGATTTTCGACTAGAGTCTTCCAACTTTTGAAATTCTCAAAAGTTTTATCCTTAGTATTTTGGATGAATACCCATAACTTTCTGGAATAATCATCTACTATGGATAGAAAATACATTGCTCCTGAATATGATGGACACCTTGCAGGCCCCCAAAGTTTAACATGGATGTAATCAAGGGATTCATGTGTTCTTTGTTTGCCTTTCTTGAACTTCACTCTGCAAGATTTCCAAGTACACATGGTTCATAAAACTTAGGCTTTTCTATTTTGTCTCCACCAAGCAAATTTTTTCCCCAGTTAGACCAGATCCCTTTCACTGACATGGCCCAATCTCATGTTCTGAATTTCTGTCTTCGACAAAGGTTTCATTGATGCAATATTTAGCGAACTACTTACGACTTCAACCTCAACGGTATACAAGCCTTGTTTCTTCATGCCTCTTAAGACTTCCTTCGAACCCTTCATGACTCTTATGATGCTTTTCTATCCTTGGAAAACATATCCTTTCTTGTTGAATTCACCAAGAGAAATCAAATTTCTCTTCAAATCATATACATACCTGACTTCAATTAATAACCTTATTGGCTCATCATAAAGCTTGAATCTCATAGATCTAACACCTGCAATCTTGCAAGCTTTGTTGTTTCCCAATAATATAGATCCACCATCTTGATCACATAGTTTCTCGAACAAGTCTTTGTTTGGAGTCATGTGCCAAGTGCAACTTGAATCGATAATTCATTCTTTTCATGAATCGTTGCTTGAAACCACAAGAACATCAGATGAGTCTAAATCATCTTGAACAATAGTTGTGATGCCATTATCCTTACCTTTACGATTTTCAGGCGTTCAGGGCACACATTTCTCGTGTGACCCTTCTTCTAACAATGATAGCATCGAATACCAGATGCTTCACCACTGTAAGACTTATGTTGACTTTTACCTTTCTTCTTATTGAACTTACCATCCTTTCGTAATTTTTTTCCCTTAACGACCAAACATTCACCAACCTTCGAAGGTTTATGCTCCTTTCTTTCGTTCAAGTCCTTAGAATACACGGGTGATTGAACTTCTTCAAAGATCAAGGACTCCCTTCCACACAAAAGAGTTTCTTTGAAGTGAGCATGTGTTTTGGGCAAAGTGCACAACAACAATGCTTGATCTTCATCATCGATCTTCATATCAATATTTTCAAGAACAAGAATAAGCTTGTTGAACATATCCAACTACTCAGCCAACACTTTGTCTTCAATCATCTTGAATGAATACAAAGCTTGCTTCAGGTAGAGTCGATTTACCAGTGATTTGGTCATGTACAAACTTTCAAGTTTCACCCATAACCCTGTTGGCGTTGTATCCTTTGATACATGTCGAAGAACCTTATCACTCAGGCTCAACAAGATTGTGTTGTAGGCTTTTTCTATCATGTCCGTCTTTTCTTTGTCCATTAACACATCGTCCATAGCCTTCACTCTCTTCAATGCTTCCAAACAACCCTACTGAACCAGTAGGACTTTCATATTCAAGCGCCACAGACCAAAATCGTTTACTCCGGTGAACTTTTCAATCTCATACTTTATTGAAGGCATCTTCTCCATGCTTACCGCGCCAATTTGTTGCGAAAATGATGCCAAGAACATAGTATAATATGTTTCTTTAAGGCAAGAAACCCACAAGGTATGAATTGGGAAATCAAGAAGAACACAAAGAACAACAAGGATTGATTATAACTGTTATTCTTTACTTCCTTATGACAAGATTACAAGTACACAAGAATAAAAAATATTCGTCTCTCTATAAATTGGGATTTGTTGTATGCAATGATGAGAGATTATTATGCTATTTATAATAAATCTAACATACTAAACTAATGGGCTTTTTCACAAATACCCATTACAAGCTAACTTATGGTACAACCTAACTTAAACAATTTGACATAATCAACATGCCCAATTTGCCATGCTAACAAACCTAGTATTTTTGACAACTGTATGCTTAATCATACTTCGACTACAACATACACTACTTCGACACCAGCATGTGAGAGGCCTTCGATTGCATGCTAACCTTTGTCGAACTTGTCGAACCACGAAGCTAGACTTCAACCCAATAGAGTTCGATCAAATATATCACACATATTTATACAAGTTTTAGATTAATATGAACCTTAGAAACTCAATCATGTCTTAGAAGATATTTCAGGAATTTACTTTCGGATGCACTCTATTTCGTTTAGTAAAACCAAGGAGTATACAGAAATTCATTTCTAAAAAAACCGATGTTAGTTTTTGTAAGAATATGGGGTGCGGCCAAAAATGAATTTTTGAATAAACCCATGTTAGCATTTTTTTCTTTTTAAAAATTAGAGTGCGTCCAGAAATATATTTTTGAATTCACCCTTAACTATTCACACATAATCTATTATAGAAACATAATCTCTTACTAAAACAAAAAAATGTTGATTCTCTTGTTGATATATCCACTTACACGTACGCGCTCTCTGGAGAATCCAAACAATGATCCTCTAAATGACTTTAAGTCTTCTGGATCGAGGCGAAGCCTTTCAAACGCCTCCTAGTATAATATGTCGCGAAGCTTCCTTGATGAACGAGAACTCTTTTAATTTCTCAATCATCATACTTGAATAAGTGGCAAGTATTTTTAATTTGTTATTATTTTAAAAAAAACCAATAATCACTTTCAGATTTTTAATGTCGTAAATACTATATACCATCTTTAAATTTGCATTTCTATATCACTGATTTTGACAAACGTGTAACAATCTCTAGTGAAAAAAGTATGTCACAAGCTATAAAGTGGTTACCATATTGAGAGTTTGTACACATAAGGTAAGAAGCTGTTGTATCTATGTACAATATTCATGTGTTATAGTTAGGTTGTCCTTCTAACATCACTACACTGGTGTATTTATAGCTCTAGGAGTCAGAAACACTGTCTTTCTAGAATGTAGCAACCATTCTAGAAATGGATAGTTGATTTCTTAAAATCTAGGAAGTAAGGTTAAATCCCATGATCCCTTATGTAATGTTCGTTGACTCAATACATGTTTCATGCATGATCGCACACTATGAACGACGACATTAATGATTCAGACGATATATATGAAAAAGGGAAACTTGATCCAAAAGAGAGGCGTTCGTACTAATAAAATGACGACTTGGGAATGATAGGAGGTGAAGTGTATGCCTTTTGCCTGCCCTCAAGAAATCTTTGAATTATACCATTATAATATTTTTTATTTGGTTGTGATTTGGTTCAACATGTTTTTATACCATTTGTCTTTGATACTTTTGATTTACTAGCATCAGAAGTAATTGATCTTTTACATAAAGTTTAAATGCTTATGAGTATGAATGTTGTATCTCCTAAATCTATGAATATAATTTTTAAAATAATTAGTTTTGTGATCTAAAAGGAAGTAGCGGCACCGTTTTTTGTCTTCTAACATAATTTTATATATATATATATATATATATATATATATATATATATATATATATATATATATATATATATATATATATATATATATATATATATATATATATATATATATATATATATATATATATATATATATATATATATATATATAATGTAACAAACTTAAAAATTGAAAAAAAAATCTTATATTGAGAAACAATGAATATATATTTTTTCTATTATGAATTGATTAAATTTATGGACAAGTTATACTATTTTAATTTGATTTAATCTCACAAGTCACCTTCATATCTTATATGGAAAAACAATAAATAAAAGATTTACACCATTTCTACATTCAATTATCTCAAAATCGAACTAAATTAAGTCGAGTTAAAAGAGTTGTATCCACCATTACATTCATTCCTTAATTACTACACTATTATTTTTTTCTACTAAGAACAATGACACAAATAAACAACATTTAAACCTCCACCGAATCAAAACAACAACAAAATGCAGCAGCCACCGCTTTCCACTGAAATCACCTCCCCGGAAAACGCAGCAACCACTACCACCACTTCTCCAGGTTTTCATTTTTCTCTTTTTTTTTCTTTCACCTAAGCTTATTTTGTTGGTAATCGATTTTAGATACGTTTCTGCTTTTTTTTTTCCAGCTTTTTTTTGAAGATGAAGTTAGCATAAACTTAACCCAGCAAACGAAAATGGGTAAGAGTAAGAAAAAAAGAGCGAGAACAAGCCCTAATGATATTGATAATACTAGTGTTTACGATGTACTCAACTGTGATGATATCATGCATGAGATTCTACTTCGTGTTCCACCATCAACTCTGTCCAAATTAATCATTGTATCCAAAAGATGGCTCTCTGTTGTTTGCAATTCGTCTTTTCGCCGATGCTATTTGACTCAATGGGGTCAAGAATTTCGACATTTAGGGTTTTTTGTATGCAACTTTTTGTACCTTGGAAGACCTCGAAACGGTGTTTGTCGCCCTTCGTGGGAGCCGGCGCTTCCGTTCTTGTCAACTTGTAAAGAGGGTGATGATTTTATGAGGTCTGGAATCCTTAAAAAGCTTGGTTACTTTATTGATTCTTGTAATGGTGTTATACTTTCTGGTGTGCATCCTAAGATTTACTATGTTTATCATACAATGGCGAAGCAACGGTATCAGCTTCCGGTGCCTCAGCAGTTTTATAAGACTTTATGTATGGCGTTGATTGTTGAGGAGTATCTTGAGGGTGATATTTGCTATAAAGTGATTCGTGCGAAATGTGAATCTAAGCTTAGGGAACGGAATACTGTGTCGATTGAGACTTACTCTTCGAAGACTGGAAAATGGAAGCAAACTACTCTGATGTGTTCGACATCTTTTGCGTTGGTCCCGAGGACTGTTGGTATGGTGGTTGGAGGAGTTGTACATTGGCTTGCAATTTGGGGGAAACTTGTCATTTATGATCCGCGTCTTGGAGATAGGAATGTTGCTTTGGTTAAGTTACCGGCGGGTGTGTTATCGCAGGAGCACGAGGAGTCTGTTCTTGGGGAATCGTCAGATGGGCTTTTGCAGTATGGTCAGAGCAATAACTTGGGTTTGGAGATATGGGTTCTTGAGAAGGAGACAGGAGTCGGTCCTTCCACTTACTCTAACTGTACTCATCTTAAGTACAAATGGATTTTGAGGTGGAGATTGAATTTTAAAGCAATATGGAAGCAGATACCAACTTTTAGCTTGTATTTTAAAGAAACTCAGATATTGTCCTTTCTTCCTCAGAATTCTACATCTGTGTTTATTAGAGTGGGCTGGAACATTTTCCAGTGTGATTTGGAGACCAAGACTGCGGAAGTGGTTAATTATCAAGGGCGGGGAGCCTCCATTTCATGGGAATCTAGCAAAGTTGTTCCTTACTTTCTGCCTGCTTGGCCACACTCTTCATCTGTGTCAGTACAGAATGGAACATGATCACTCTTCATCTGTGTCACATGATTTATGTTACTTCAAAGGCCTGTCTTTTTGATATCTAGACGCAGTTGATAATTTCCATTTTGTTTTCAATTAGGATAGATAAATGGAAGTGAAACTAAAGCTTTAAGTATCTTTGTTCTGTTGTAGCAGTCTAACCTTCATTTTGCTATATAGAATTAGTGGTATGTGCTGTTAATACTAATAGGCTGCTTGTTGATCAAGTTTTCTAAAAATATTGCTCCTCCTATCATTGTTCTGGCCAAGTCTTATTTGCATATAGAATTCATTGCAGCGGGAAACAATCATATGAACTCACTTTTCTCACCCAGTCGTTTGGTTTTATGTTATGAATGCTAATTTCACTTCATACATTAGAAACGGATGGCCCTCACACTAACCATGTTTATTGTGTTTGAGGTGGTAGTTTCTTTTATATTGCCAAGCAGAAGGTGTTTAAAATTTTCAAGTACATTGTGTATTTCTTTTTGGTACATAATTGTGAGTTTTCTAAACTCAACCTGGATTCAATGCGAAACGATACCATAACTAATTCGAAGGAAAATGCTAATGAGTGTCTTTAAGATGTTGATTAAAGAAATACATATAGAAATGTTTTGTTGCACAATGGTGTATTCAACCATTTTGAAGTTTAGATGTCCATGCATATAATGTAATATAAGAGCCTAAGAAGCCTTATTCCATACAAGAGCTGAGTTTCATTATCATATCATCGGCAAAGTGATGGAAATAAAATGAAGTGAATAGTTAAATCTAAAAAGTCCAGCTAAATAATGTTTTTTGCTGACACAAGTTGTGTCCATTGTCGTATATTTTATGAAATTCCTAGGTACAAAATCTTGTGTTCTAAGCAAAACAAGGTGCCTAGAGGGAGAAACTCAAATGAAAAGATGGTAAAAATTTCATGGACAAAGGCAATATGTTTTTACTCCCGTCTCAAAAGCTAGTAAGCTAGTTTCTGCACCGTAAAATCTGCACTATGTCATCTCTTTTCAAGCTATTGAGAAATAAAATTTATGTTAAATACAATCTTCTTTCTGATGTAAGGCAAAATCATTTCACAGAATAATAACATGTAACTGAATGTGAGCTGAGCTGATATCTGGACAAAGGTAAGAATAATAACATGTAACTGAATGTGAGCTGTGCTGATATCTGGACAAAGGTAAGAGTACCAGTGGATCAAATCTGCAACGAAAGCTGTCAGTCTGGGCGTGGCAACAAGAAACTAAAGCCAGAGTTCTCACGAATTAATGGTGGGGGCTCTATATCAGATATATCTATCTGTTCCTTTGACTTTGATATGTCATCAACAGAAAACGGAATACTGCAAATGAAAAGTCAAATATACATTCAGTTCTTAACAACTAGTAGCATGTGTAACAAAGAGGAAAGAATTATTTTAATACGAGTTTATAAAACAAGGATAATCTAAGCAACTAGTATTTATTTACATGGATGAAGGCTTACCTTGAATCATCATCCAACAGGAAAGAATTACTAACTGCATTATTTGAATCTTCAGTCATCAACACTCGCATATTCGATATTACCTAGATGAAAACATTGATGTGGCAAAGCTCAACATAGATTTTTTCTGCACGTCTTTGATATGAAGCTATCCTATTGCTCTGGCATTAGATGGTTTTAAAGGTAGTTTGAGTAATGGTTTAGTTTGAAAACTTACATCAGGGGATACACTATGTGTGCCGTACTTGTCATCCCAGTACATGGTACTAATTCGATATAGCTGCTGTATACTGAGGACCTGTGAACAAGGAACTGACAATGGTAGGTATTTGGAAAAGTGAAAGCTAGATAAAAATTAAGATTGCTTTCACTTACTGGACACAGGTCATGACTTATTTCATCCAACGTTTTCTTTGGTTTTTGATGTATGACCTAAATTAAATGAAGGAAATATCAGTTTTTAATAGTTTACTCTGTCCATTTGAATAAGTACCATGCAGATTACAGATGGATAGATACCAGAAATCCAATAGCTTGCCTAATATGTTTGAGCTCATCCCAGGCTGGACCTGCATACTGCATTTTTTTTTTTGCCGGGAGTGGGGCGTTAAGTATGTATTTATACATAATTGAAAGATCTGCAAAATTAATAGTAGTGTAGTATTGCACCTCATCTGTTGCCTTATAACACCAATGCTCCAATTCAGCCAAACCAGCTTTCACATATTCTCCATTACTAAATGAGCAACACTCCCGTCTTAAGAGAAGACTATAAGAAAAATGAAATGTAAGACGTTAAATTTGATTAGCAGAACAGAAAACAATCCCAAAACATGGAAAGTGGGATATAACAAACCTATTAAAGAGTTGGACATTGATGAAAGAAAAAATTTGAGTGAACACCTTGCGAACCAAAAATGGGGGGACCTGTCAAAATGAAGCAGAATGGGATTAACTAAAAACATATATTTAACTCAACCAACAAGAAGTAAATGCATACATAACAAGTTACCAAAGAAAGATGCAAATAAAATAAACATATAAACGTCTCTATGGTATAACAAAATTATGCAAACTTTCCTTCTAGGTCTCAAATTTACACAAGCCTCCTTGTTTTAATGATCAAAATAGATCACCTTTATTCATATTTGAAATTAAAAAGAGACAAAAGTAGTTATAAGAAAGCACCAAAAAGAGAGAGGGAACTCATAGAGGTTCCACTAACGTTATTCTCTTTCAAAGTATTTAAGAAGTTCCCAAGGCTCTTGACTATCCCCTGCCAGTGAGCAATCAAGGCTTTTTGCGCTTCAGTGTTTGCAACTGAACGTGATGATCCCTTAACCAAGCTCGCTCTGGATGTTCTTGGTGCCTATCTCATTATATTCAAACAGTTACATGTTATATCATTGAATTTGAAAGGCAACGTAGGAAATGAAAAGCTTTACAAATTTATGAAAGCATTCAAATGAAGAAATTGTTGTACCTGGATGCACAATCCAAGCAAGGGAGAAATTTCTTTCTTCAAGTTATCACGAATCATTCCATAGATCTTTTCCACATAAGCTGTCAGCTGCTGTTTGAAAAGCAGAGCTGGGTACTTGGCCTCAACCTGTCTTAATGTATCTACTCCTCCACTGTTGCTACCATTGATCATGGAAAGATTGACTCCTGCTGGAGCTCCACGGAAACTCTGTAATAAGGGTGAGTGAAAGACTATACTTGCCTGAAGAAGGAAAATTTCTCAATAGGAACTAATCCGTTTCAAGTTAGAAGTTATATTTACTTGAGTCATCCTCCCAAACAGGGTTGCTGAAGAAGAACGGCGGCGCTGAGGGGCCATTCCAGCAGCACCACTCGCCTTAAGTGTGCGCTGGAGCAACAAGAGAAGTGTAGAAGCATTGGATAACCAATAAGCCAAGACATTGTTGTTTTCCTGGGTCTGAAGTCCAAAAAAAAAATTAGTGAAAATAAATTTGTTAAGAAAAGAGTGTGAGTAGAAAAAAGAACTATCACATGAAAGTTGAGCATTTTAAACCTCAATTGCATGGCCTATAGTTTGAATTATACGATCAAACACGCTGGTACGCTCAACTTCAAATGATCTCCAATGCAAGAGGCACTTGTATATGATACAGGCAGCAATTGGTCTATTCCCAGCAAAGCCTAGATGTTGTGCAATACATCTAATGAGCAACTCTTGATTCTCTTGTTGTTTTTCATTCAGTGACTTCTGTGGTTTATCCTCCACCTCAGCGGATTCCCTTTGGTTCATTGATGAGCTATGCATATCCTGAAAAGAATTTCAAGTGAAAAAAAAAGTCTAAGTCCCTATAAACATATCCAATACAAGTAACCATAATTTAAAATAATTTTTGTTACCAAATGTGGCGGCTTTGCTTCCGCTCCAATATGTCCACTGTCAACTCTCTATCAACGGAGATAAGAAAATCTTATAATCCATCTTTAACATTCATATTATCATGTATATAACATATATTCCAAGGAGTACCTGAATAATTGATCTGGAGCGTCCTGAGAGGAACTTATTAGGTGCCATGGAAACAGCTTGTTGACGTAGAACTTGGTTCTCTGATTCTAAATTACTAATCTTCTCTTCTAGCCTAATCATCAGAATGTGAAATTTTGGTCATACACCTCACCGAATTAAGGGTACATATGAGTGATATGATATTATTTTTTAAGTAGAGAAATAGATATAAAGTCAATTGTTGTGGCCGACATTATCCTTGCTACTTAGTGAAGGAGAGAAATAAAGAAAAATAATGTTTGATCAGATAGCCAATAGCATTATCATACTTCTCATGAGTACGCAAATATCTGGAACAGTATTTTAGGTACTCAAGAAGTTTGAAAGATTCCAAATCATGAATCAGTTACACTTACATTCCAATCCATCTTTTAAGTATTGATCATCATTGGTTAGCACGAGATAAAAGAAATAGCGGGGTTCTGGCTCATTTTTAAATATTACCTGGTTAGTGATTCTTGGAGCTGACGAGCCTTCTTTTCCGTATCTTCTAATTTTTGACCCCTTTCTTCACTTAAAGCTTGGGCTTCATTATATTTCCTTTCAAAATCATCACCTTTCTGTTTCTCTGCCTCTAGTGAGGTCTGTAAGAAGATAAAGCCAAGGCAATATCATATAGACAAGATGACCACTATACACCTCAAAAGAACTTGAGCGTAATCTGTCTGATAAATTTGGTCATGCCTCTTACTAACAACTTAAGCTTTTAGGATGATTGGTTATTGATATTAGCTGTGCTGTTTTCAGTTTTTCATTAACTGTGAATATCTTGACTTAACTGTCTAGTATTAATTCTAAGCATTCTTACCTTTAAACTCTCAACTTCTGCTGTTAGTGATTCAACCTTCTGTGTGTCTTCAACAATTACTTGTGTCTCTTGAATAACAGGAGGTGCTTCTTCAATAGATTTCTTTGCATTCTCGCGCTCCTTTACAAGGATAGCATTGGTTTCATCAGATTT